CAGTGACCCTCACTGATCTCCAGCTGTCTCTGGATCCGGTCCTTGCAGCGGTCAGTGTCAGTGACCACTCTGTCCATCCCCATTCCCTGGTAACCCACGATGACCCAGGATGACCAATGACCCCAGGTGACCCCAGATGACCATTGAGTGACCAGATGACCACTGAGTGACCCTCACTGATCTCCAGCTGTCTCTGGATGCGGTCCTTGCAGCGGTCAGTGCCAGTGACCACTCTGTCCATCCCCATTCCCTGGTAACCCACAATGACCAATGATGACCAGTGATGACCAATGACCCCAGTGGTCACTCAGAGTGACCAGAGCAGCGGTCAGTGTGTCCGTACTGATCTCCAGCTGTCGCTGGATGCGGTCCTTGCAGCGGTCAGTGCCAGTGACCGCTCTGTCCATCCCCATTCCCCAATGACCAATGATGACCAATGACCCCAGTGGTCACTCAGAGTGACCATTGAGTGACCAGATGACCCTCACTGATCTCGAGCTGCCGCTGGATGCGGTCCTTGCAGCGGTCAGTGTCAGTGACCGCTCTGTCCATCCCCATTCCCTGGTAACCCACAATGACCCACGATGACCAATGATGACCAATGACCCCAGATGACCATTGAGTGACCATTGAGTGACCCTCACTGATCTCGAGCTGCCGCTGGATCCGGTCCTTGCAGCGGTCACTGACACTGACCACTCTGTCCATCCCCATTCCCCAATGACCAATGATGACCAATGACCCCAGATGACCCCAGTGGTCACTCAGAGTGACCAGATGACCCTCACTGATCTCGAGCTGCCTCTGGATGCGGTCCTTGCAGCGGTCACTGACACTGACCGCTCTGTCCATCCCCATTCCCCAATGACCAGTGATGACCAATGATGACCAATGACCCCAGATGACCCCAGTGGTCACTCAGAGTGACCATTGAGTGACCAGATGACCCTCACTGATCTCGAGCTGTCTCTGGATGCGGTCCTTGCAGCGGTCAGTGACACTGACCACTCTGTCCATCCCCATTCCCTGGTAACCCACAATGACCCACGATGACCAATGATGACCAA